CAGGAGGAAATACCATCCAGGTTCAAGGTCATCCTACAGAATGTAAGCCATAAAATTTTCAAAACACATCAGGGACATGAACGAAAGGGAAAGACTAAGCAACTAAATAATGAGGCAGCTAAGCAATTTTGTGTCCTTGATAGCATCATGGAAAAGACTGCTGAAACTTGGCATTTGGATGAAGTGTTTAAACTGGATGGCTGTGTTGTAACAGTTGGTTTATGAATTTGGAATCTGGGATTTGGTTATGTTAGAAGATCTTTGTTTTAGGATATCCATACTGCAGTATTTAGGGAAGACAGGACCTCACGCCTGTAGCTTGCTCTCAAAAGTTTCGGAAAAAAATAGCGTGTGTAGGAGCAGTTGGGTGGGCACTGGAGCAAATGTCATAACTTAACACTCAGGGAATTTGGGTGAAACAAATGTAGGGTTCTTTTACTTTTCTGGCAGTGTTTCTATGATTTCAAAATTATTTAAAAATAAATGATTAAATAGCTATTGTCAAAAAGATAAAGGTAACAGGTGTTGGAAAGGAAATGGAGAAAGGGGAACAATTGCATCCTGTTGATGAGAATGTAAATTAGTACAACCATAGAAAACAGTATGGAAGTTCCTTGAAAATTTACATATAGAAGTATCATGATCCAGCAGTCTCACTTTTGGGTATGTATATATTCAAAGGGAATGAAATCAAGATCTTGAATAGATGTATGTAACTGGGTTCATTGCAACACTCACAATAACCAAAAAATGGAATCAGCCTAAGTGTTCAACAGATAAATGGATAAAGAAAATGTGGTACATATACCCAATGGAATACTATTTAGCTTTATTAAAGAAGGAAATCCTGTCATTTGCAACAACATAGATGAACCTTGAGGACATTATATTTACTTCATGATCTCACTTATATGTGGAAAAAAATTAAACTCAGAGAGAGTAGAATGGTGGTTACAAAGGGCTGGAAGGGATTCAGGGTATTGGAATAGATGTTGGTCAAAGGCTGCAAAATTTCAATTAGATGGGAGGAGTAAGTTCACCAGAGCTATTATATGACATGAGAACTAGAGTTAATACCACTGCGTTTATATTCTTGAAAATTGCTAAGAGAGTAGATTTTAAGTGTTCTCATTACAAAAAAATAAGTATATGAGGTAATACATAGATTAATTAACTCAATGTAACCATTCCACAATGTATATTTATTTCAAAACATGCTGTACACAGAAATATATTCAATTTTTATTAGTCAATTAAAATAATACTTTTAAAAAATAAATTATTAAATTTTAGATAAAACAGTTATTAAATTTCAGATAAAACATAGTTCTTAGAATATTCCTTATGGTTAGCATTATGAGCATGATTTATGGTGGGAATTATTAGAGGGTGCAAAAAGTAAAAGGGGGAAATTTGGGGGAAAGGTATATTGTATTGACTGCTGCCTGGTAAATACTTTGCTAAATATTCTACATAGTCCCAAAATAAGTTATTTATTTATTTATGTTTTTGGAGACAGAGCCTCCCTCTGTCACCCAGGCTGGAGTGCCTCCCAGGTTCCAGTGATTCTCCTGCCTCAGCCTCCCAAGTAGCTGTGATTACAGGTGCATGCCACCACACCTAATTTTTTGTGTGTTTTTAGTAGAGACGGGGTTTCACCATGTTGGCCAGGCTGGTCTTGAACTCCTGACCTCGTGATCTGCCCGCCTCAGCCTCCCAAAGTGTTGGGATTACAAGTGTGAGCCACCGTGCCTGGTCTACACATATGTTTTAAAAGTAGAGCCAATGGGATTTGCTGACAGGTTGAATATAGAGTGTAAGAAAAAGAAAGGAGCCGAGGACTTTAAGTTGTAGGGAAAAACAGTATTACCAATAATTGAGATGGAGAGGGAGGGTTATAGGAAGAGTACACCTGAGGATAAAAAGTACAGTCATGTGTTGCTTGATGACAGGGATGCATTCTGAGAAATGGTGATTTCGGCATCGTGTGACATCATAGGATGTACTTACACAAACCTAGATGGTTTACCCTGTTGCTGCTATCTGTACAGCATATTATTGTACTGAATACTGTAGGCAGTTGTACATAATAGTAAATGTTTGTATATCTAAACATAAAGAAAGTACAGTCAAAATACAATACAAAGGATTAAAAAATGATACACCATGGAGGTTGCAGTGAGCCGAGCTGAGATCATACCACTGCACTCCAGCCTGGGTGACGGAGTGAGAGTCAAAAAAAAAAAAAAAGGTGCACCTGTATTTACCATGGAGCTTGCAGGACTGGAAATTTACAGTGCTCTGGGTGAGCACGTGAGTGATTGTGAAGGCGCAGGACATTACTGTACACTACTGGGGACTTTATAAGCACCATGCTTTTAGGCTACATTAAATTTATTTGAAAATATTTTTTCTTCAATAATAAATTTTAGCTTAAGGAAAGCTTACTGTAACTTTTTAACTTTATAAACTGTAATTTTTTTAATGTTTTGACTGTTTTGTAATAACAGTTAGCTTAAAACACACATTGTACAAATTCTTCCTTATATCTTTAATTCATAAACTTATTTATTTGTTTATTTTAAAACTTTTTGTTAAAAACCAAGATGCAAACACACACGTTAGCCTAGGCCTACCCAAGGTTCATATCATCAATATCACTGTCTTACACCTCCACATTTTATCTCCCTGGAAAGTCTTCAGGGGCATAAACATGCATTCAGTTTTCATCTCCTTATATAATAATGCTTTTTCTGAGACTATCTCTTGAAGGACTTGGCTGAGGCTGTCACTTTTTTTAGTAAGTAGTAGGAGTACACTCTAAAATAATGAAAAAAAAGTGTAATATAGTAAATACATAAACCAATAACATAGTAGTTTATTATTATCATTATACAACTGGCAGCACTGTAGGTTTGTTTACACCAGCATCACCATAAGCACTTGAGTAATACCTGGTGCTGTGATGTTACTACAGCTCCAACATCATTAGGCAATGGGAATTATTCAGCTTCATTATAATTTCATGGGACCACTGTTGTACATAAGGTTGATTGTTGACTGAAACATTGCTATATGGTGCATGACTACATAGGAATGTAGAGGAAGAGAGAAGTAAAAAAACTCAGCCCTGAGCATTCCAGCACATAGCGGTGTGGGAGAGAAGAAATCACCAACAATGGAGACTGAGATCGTGCACTGCCAAGAAGCAGAGGAATCCCTGCCCTTACTGGGGAGTTCAAAAACTGGGATTATAGTGTGCTGGAAACCAAATGAAAAAAAGCATTTCCATGAAGGCAGACCGACCACCTGTGTGAAAAGCTGCTACAAGTGTGAACGTAATGGTTTCAGGAAAGAATGGATGGGAAAGAATAGGAGACAGTGAACCTAGATGAGTCTTTGGAAGAGTTTTGCTGTAAAAGAAATGGGGTAGTTGATGGTAGGAGAAAAGGAGTTAAAGAGTTTTGTTTTTAGCTGAAAAAAGTTAAAAGCGTATTTATATGTTGATGGTGTGATCCAGTAAAATGGGAAAATTGGTGTTACAGAAGAGGGATGAAAATTACTGGGCAGGCAAGATGGGGTGTGCTCTACTGCACAAGTGGAAGGCTGGCTTTAACTAGAAACATGGACATTTCATCATCCGTTGCAACAGGAGGGGATATTGACTGAAAAGTGGTGGAAGTTTGTGGAAGATCTTTGATTGTTGCTGATTTTCAGTGAAATGCTAAGTACATTAGCTAAGATTAAGAATGGAGGAGGAAATACTGATGATTCAAAAAGAGAAAAGAAAGTAGGAAATAGTTATTTAGGAAAGTAGGGAAGTGAATGGATTAGAGAAATGTCATATGATAGCCAGTCAGCCTTAATGGCCTACCTGAAGTAAATGGTCATGTGTTTGAAGTGAGATCAGTTCAATTATGTTCAGGCAGCATGTGGGATTTAACCAGGGTAAGTTGTTTTATCTAGGGGAAACACTGAGGAGAGTGAAGTGAGCATATATAATTGAGTGAAAGGGGAGTTGACATATATATGTGTCATATATATGTGACATCTATGTTATATATGACTATGTGACACATGTTATATGACATGTGACTGACATGTTACATGTCATGACACACATGCTGTATGACGTGTGTGTCATATGACATGTGTGTTACACACGTGACATATATATGTAAGGAAATTATGATTATTATTGAGGCTGGATAATGAGGAATTGAGGGATAGAGGGCAAGGGTAAAGTGAGATGAAAGGATGGAAAAAGCAAAGTCTTATAGGACCTAGGGGGATTATTGGTATTTGGGCACTAGAGGAAGTGAATCATTTGGTTGGATATTGAAATCATCAAAAATTGCCACAGGACTAATGTTGGAGATGGTGATAGTGAACCAAGAACTAAAATCTTCAAGGACTGAGGGAGAATGAGTAGATGCTCATTGATGACTGCAGCGTGGAGGAAAGAGGATGGTGTGGTGTGATGATATGAGATTCAAAGCTGGTTGTATTCAGGGCAATGGCGAGAACAGAACTGTAATGAGGAACAAGGAGAATCACCTCACTCACAGGCCCAGTTCCTTTTCCTGAACACAGACAAATTTGTATTCCCTGTAACTCATTAGCCCTTAGTCTAAATTCTGAATCCTTCTAAGGGAGTAAGTAAAGTAAATGAAAGCATTAAGATACGTTAATAATTTTTATTTTACAAATATTTGAGTTAGTGATTCTGCACAGTTTTATTAGTAATCCAAAAAACTAACTTTAACCTGTCACTTCAAAATTGGTTCAGTAGTACAGCTAACTGAATTATGCCTCAAAACTTTTTAACTTGTTTTGGAAAGAAAATTGTGTTGTATGTCCAACATACAACACAATTTTGTGACCTATATATGATTGTTTATTGTGTATTGATGTACATACCAGAGACTGTTTTTGTATATTTACTGGGCACTTAATAAATTATTTGCCTAATATTTAGTTGTCTCTCCTTTTTCTTCTAGATTACATACCGGTTACGGCACCTCCTTCGTGCAAGGTGTGATGCATCCCCAGTGACCAACAACACCATCCAATTTCACTGTGATCCTAGTTTCTGGGCTCAAAATATTATCAACTTAGGTAGGCCATTACCATTACATACATTTCTCAAAGTGACATTTGTTTGTAGAACTCTCAATGATTATGACATGTTACTGAAAATCTGTTCACTTAGCGTGGGCACGGTGGCTCACATCTGTAATCCTAGCACTTTGAGATCACTCAAGGATCATTTGAGCCAGGAGTTCAAGACCAGCCTAGGCAACATAGGGAGAGTCCATTTCCACATAAGATTTCTAAGTTAGCCAGGGGTTGTGGCACATGCTTGTAGTCCCAGCTACTTGGAAGGCTGATGCTGGAGGATCGAAGAAAATATGTTCTCTCACTTTTAAAATTATTTCATTATTTTGTTTTAAAAAGACATCTGATAGTATTTCTCAGTGTATGTATATGGTAACAAATATACATGAATATAAACACACGTACATGTACGGATGATAAGAAAATATTCTATAACATTGACAGGGTGTCTAGACTTAGGGATTTAGGTGTCCTGTCCTGTCCTATTCCCTTAATCCCCCAAATCTGGTTTGTTCTGTTAGCTCTAAATTTATCAGAATGTTTTAACTTGACTTGTCATTGATAAAGGATTTTTGATATCCTGAAAGTTTTATTTGAAACGACTAAATTTTTATTGGCTTATCTTTAGAACTATTCAGTAGGAACTTAATGATTCAATCCTTTATCTTGCTTAGGGAAGACTTAGTTTTCTTATTTTGCCTGATCAGGTAATAGTTATATACATATCTTACTAACTGAAGTACAACATACATACTGACAAGTACCCAAATCTTAAGCAGTCAGGTACTGCATAATGATGTCTCAATCAACTAACTGCATCTATGACTTATAAATACTGTGAGCTTTTTTACTGTATCTTTTGTATGTTTAGATACACAGATACTTACCATCGTGTTACAATTTTCTACAGTATTGTCCAGATAAATCAGTACAATTACATGCTGTACAGGTTTGTAGCCTAGATTCTACCTAGCAATAAGCTATGCCATATAACCTAGGTGTGTAGTAGGCTATACAGTATAGGTTTACATAAATAAACTGATGTTTGTCTAAAGATAAAATTACCTAAATGACACATTTCTCAGAACATATCCCCATCCTTTCACAACACATGACTATATTAGAGCTCACTGAATTATCACAAAAAGAGACCATCATTTTGGTAACATCAGGAATGAAAGTATCCTTGCAAGCAGTTCGGCAGAAAGTTACTACTTTAGCTTTTTTATTATACTATTTGCTGAGTAGAAACACCTTTTTGCCTTCTTTCTTAATTTCTCACAGGGAAACTATACAAATTTAGGAATTCCCTACACATTGTCTGTTCATCAACAAACAGTATTATCGTTTTTGATTTTGGTGGGGTTGGGGGGCGAGGGGTGCTCATTGAATTTGTTTCAGAATCATCAAAGACGGTTTCTCATCCCCAACACTAGATTCTGGGTGAGAAAAGAAAATGGCTGGAGAAAGAGCCCATACTCACCAGGAAAGGAGGAAATAGGCAATCTCACCCGTAAGGGAAGAACAAAAAGATTTATCCTGGAAGCAAAGGTGATAAGGAGACCCCTGCAGACTAGTTTAGATACAAACATATGTATATTGATACATAGCAGGAAACTGGAATTATACACACTCATTTTACCAAAAAGAAGCATCTTTAGAATACAAAACATGTGTATAAGTAACTCTTATTGCCACACCTGACTCCACCACTACACATTCATCTGTACTCAGAACCCATCACAAGATATAAATCCAAACAAGTGGTCATATGTGTTATGTACTTATATCACAATAGGTAAATACACCCACATATAGACATCAGTATGTTTAAGAATTATATTCAAAACTGTACACACATAAATGGATATAGTTTCAGATAAATCTACTTTAGCCAAAACAAAAACAGGATCTCCTAGTCTAATAGTTTGTGAAACCAGTATAAGGAAGTTAAACAATATATTTTACTGTAGAATTTCTCAGAGCTGTCACTTACAGCACTGTAAATTTATAAACAGTGAGATTTACATTGTAAATCTCTAAAGAAGGAGACAAGTTTCCTAAACTTGTTACCCATGGCTTCTGAGAAACGTATAAGAACACTAGGGAAAAATATTGGTCTAGGTGAATATTTTGTTACTGTCTTGAGTGACTTTGGATAAGTTTTACAACCTCTCTAAACCTTAGATCCCTTATGTGTAAAAGAGAATGTTATTGTTTCTTTTAAACATATGCATACACCTACCTGTAGTAGTGAATTACACACAGTAAACATTTAATGAATAACTATATATTTTTAGAATGCATATGAGTAATCATAAACATTTGAGTTTCTACTGTTGAAATCAAGCTTGAATCAGACCTTTCAAAGGCACCATTAAACTCTTAAAACTAGTTTTAAGCTGGTCAATGTATTCTGTATCAAAAAGTTAACATAGTATGCATTGTAAAGGTATAGGAAACTTGAGAGATCACAACTTGTTAATAGTAAATATTCAGAAATACTTTTTGGGATTGTTTTTAGAGCCAATGTCAGGTTTGCTTGTTTTGATATATGACAGCAGTTCTCAGAGTATAGTCTGGTACTCTATCAGGGGACCACAAAGGTCACCCTTTTCCAACTACACGTCTGGATGAATGTTGTGCCAGACCCCTATTCACTTCAGTAGGGATAGGACCATGTTTGAGAGGCCCAAGAAGAGAGGCCCAAGAAGAGACCTGGAGCTAGTGAATGAGACACAGGGCTTATTGAGGGAACTTACATACAGGACAGTCCAGTGGCAGTGGGCTGGACAAGAGAACCACCAGCAAGTAGTTAATATAGCACTTAGCACCCTCCCGCTAGCAACCTCCATGTGGCAACCTTCATTTAACACAAAGCACAAGTCCTCCATCCCCGATATGGCCTGGATTCCACAGGCTGGCCTGGGAGTTCAGATATTCTTCATTGATAAAGAATGGATCTCTGGGTTGGCCACTCCTGGGTTCCTTAGCGCGGAACTCCAAACACACATTCTCCTTAGGCTATACAGGGTCACTCTCAGGGTAGACTTAAGTTATTGCTGTCAGGTGCTGTCTGCCATACAGTAAGACTGAAATTTTTTTCATATATTTTAACTTAACAATATATTATGATAGATAGTGCAGAAACAGATAATGAGATTTCAGCTATTAAGCCAGACATTCAAAGAGATTTTTTAAAACATCAAACAGTATTTTAAAATATCAAAAATGTTTACCAAATTTTTTACAACGTAGTTTTATAAAAACATGTTGTTATGGTTTTATTATTCTTAAATGAATTAGTTTTAAAAATTATTTTTAATTTCTAATATTATAAATTTTGATGACTAGAACTTAGATGAACAAAAGCTGTTTGGGGGTCCTCTGTCTTTCAGAGTGTAAAAGGGCTCATGAGACCAGAGAATTCCTTGGCAATTTTGAAGTTCTGCAAAAATAGTCTTAGAAAATGTGATACTTCACCAACTATCTGAAAAACTTTTTCCCTTAACCTTTTCTTTTTAATTAGGTTCTTTAGTAATTGAGGATAAAGAGAGCCAGCCACAAATGCCTAAGCAGAATCCTGTCGTGGAACAGAATTCACAGCCACCAAGTGGTTTATCATCAAACCAGTTATCCAAGTTCCCAACACAGATCAGCCTAGCTCAATTACGGCTCCAGCATATGCAGCAACAGGTAATGGCTCAGAGGCAACAGGTGCAACGGAGGCCAGCACCTGTGGGTTTACCAAACCCTAGAATGCAGGGGCCCATCCAGCAACCTTCCATCTCTCATCAGGTAAATTTGGAAGCAGGCCTGTCCTCACTTAGATAATTATAGTATAATTGTGTTGAGCAGCTCAAAATGACAAAGACATCCATTTTCCATAATCTAAATATCTGCATTTATAAAAATTTATCACATTAAGGATCCCTGATTTAATGCCTAGTTTTTAATCCCTACTTAAAAAGGATTTAATGGTTTGTTTAGCTGATAAATCTATTTTCATCTACTCTTCATTGTCTTTAAATTATAGCAGAGGATAAATGTTTGTATTCCTAAATAACCCAGGCCTGTAATTGATGGGAAAAGTTGTGTACCTGTTAATTCCTATACTGGTGCTTCAGAATGATGAATACATTAAGAATCTGTCCTCTGTGAGGATGTGGTGTTTAGTAAACCACATTGCATCTTAGAAACTAGGGCAGAGTGAAATACAAAAGGGCAGAAGTGTGGTTCATTATAATATACCTTTTTCACACTTTATTTCTGAGCAAATATACTGTTTACCATTCTTATTTTTACTGTAATCCAATTTTTTTTTTTTTTTTTTGAGATGTAGTCTCACTCTGTAACTCAGACTGGAGTGCAGTGGCACGATCTCAGCTCACTGCAACGTCTGCCTCCCAGGTTGAAGCGATTCTCATGCCTCAGCCTCCCGAGTAGCTGGGATTACAAGTGCGCGCCACCACGCCCGGCTAATTTTTGTATTTTTAGTAGAGACAGGGTTTCACCATGTTGGCCAGGTTGGTCCCAAACTCCTGACCTCAGGTGATCCCGCCTCAGCCTCCCAAAGTGCTGGGATTACAGGTGTGAGCCACTGTGCCCAGCCTCAGTCCAACTTTTGAAGATAAAATATATATACTTTTGTTAAATAGTTTAACTCTGCTTTTCAGGTTAGATGTGGGCAGACTTATTTTAATAAAAGTTTAGTAAGGAATATAAAGTCTAATTTATATAAACTGTTGTTTTCAGTTACATTTACTTACACTTTTTTTTATATATATAGACAGAGTTTTACTCTTGTTGCTTAGGTTGGAGTGCAATGGTGCCATCTCGGCTCAGCACAACCTCTGCCTCTCCTGGGTTGAAGCAATTTTCCTGCCTCAGCCTCCCGAGTAGCTGAGATTACAGGCATGTGCCACCATGCCGGCTAATTTTGTATTTTTAGTAGAGACGGGGTTTCTTCATGTTGGTCAGGTTGGTCTCGAACTCTGACCTCAGGTGATCCTCGCACCTCGGCCTCCCAAAGTGCTGGGATTACAGGCATGAGCCATTGTACCCAGCTATTTATACTCTTTTTCTGCAAAAGATTTGAAGTGATTTACAATAAAGGATACAAATGAAATTGAGCAGAGTTTAATAAAAAGCCAAAGTATGCAGACATAGGCTAAGAATTCTCATACTTAAGAGTAACACTTAGCTCAGAACTTGTTGCCAACCAAAGAAAAAAGGAAACCAGAATAATACGGGTATTGCTATCTAAAAAGGAAAACATACTAGTTAATTAGGGAGAGAAAATTTTACTAGTATTTTACTAGCACTAAGAGGAATACATGGTTCTTTATGAAAAAGCAATTAAATGGCATAAGATTTCTTTGGTAGAAATTTTAAAAAAACAAAAATGGTTTTTATATGGAACTCATACTTTAATTCTCAGTAAAAGTTGTGGGCATTTGTAGATCCAGAATGTGTTACGTGGTATATGTGAAGGCCTGAGGTAATGTATTTGAGGTTTTATGGCTTTCTAGTAATTTGACTAAGAAGGTATGTAAAATCCAAGGGAATATTAGCATGGCTGTTTAAAACTTCGTTTCAAGCCAGATTCTTACAAAAAGTAAGTAGGACGCAATGTAAAAGGTTTTTGAGTGTTCCATGGGAGGATAATTTTACACTTTATATACCAGGAGGAGTATACCTAGCAGAGTAGAAATTTTGTTAAGAAAATTGAAGGCAGAAGGACATGCTTCAGATAGACTGCAAAGATTACTAAAATTTTTCTGAAGCTAGATAATGGAAACGAGAGATAATATTTGAGTGCTAAGCATTTGCATGTATTAATATTTATCTTCTAAATATTTAGTAGTTTAACAACAAAAGGAATGAATTAATCAACTGAGTTAATTGCCTTTTCACTAAGAAGTCAAGAACTGGCCGGGCACAGTGGCTAATGCCTACAATCCCAGAACTTTGGGAGACTTGAGGCAGGAGGATCACTTCACTCCAGGAGTTCAAGACCAGCCTAGGCAACACAGGGAGGACACCGCCCCCTCCCCGCCCAATCTCTACAAAAAATAAAAATAAAAAATCATCTGGGTGAGGTGGCACATGCTTGTGGTCCCAGCTATTCTTGGGGGGCTAAGGTAGGAGGGATCGCTTGAGCCTGGGAGGTCAAGGCTGCAATGAACCATAATCTCTCCGCTGCACTCCAGCTTGGTGACAGAGCACGAGACTGTCTCAAAAAAAGAACTGAGGCAGTTAGTAGATACTATGTGAAAATAGTTATATAAGCAGTGACAAAACAGAAGTGACTTGAGCTGTTAACCTGCTTTTCTCAGAAATTTTCTTTTGATCTTAGTTGCAGTCTCTACAATGTAGTGCTGTAATCTGTGTAGTCTCTATTATATAACCTAATTTTCACACTTAGAAATGAAGTACTCTTCACATATTGCAGTTCTTACATTGCATACTGTTGTTTTTCTGTCAATTTGCAATAATTCCTGCAGTTTCTTTCACATTCTCGTCACTCATTTTTATCTGTTCTCTGCTAAATGCCCATTCATATGTCTTCACTCCTTGGTATCCTTCTTCTATAAACTTGTATATTGTCCTGCCTGGGTACAGTCTGAGTTTTCTACCAGCTTGTTTGCAAGTACATGTGGGAAAATGCCTGTCTAGGCATAGCCTCACAGCAAGTGTCTGTGTGGCTATGAGTATGTGCAATTTATACTCTACATCTGTCCATATATACGGGTAAATTGAAAAGAACTGTTTCTAAAAATTACTTACATGACAGTTCTCTCTTCTTCCTCTGAAGATTAGCCATGTCATCTACATGGTTAAAAGAGCTGTTGATAACAAAAGTAGAACAGTGATATGACTTAGTGATGCAAACTTAATAGACGTTGTACATCTCTGTTTATTTGGCTTTACACAGTATATTCTATTAAACTCTAATGGATAGATCTAAATTTAGGACAGAACACTGTCACATATATTAAATATTTTTGCTATTCTTTTAGGATTTTAACTGTTTCCTAATTTTATTTATTTTATTTTATTTTATTTATTTATTTTATTTTATTTTTTGAGACAGAGTCTCACTCTGTCACCCAGGCTGGAATGCAGTGGCGTGATCTTGGCTCACTGCAACCTCTGCCTCCTGGGTTCAAGCAGTTCTCCTGCCTCAGCCTCCGGAGTAGCTGGGACTACAGGCATGTGACACCACAGCCAGCTAATTTTTTATATTTTTAGTAGAGATGGAGTTTCACCTTGTTAGCCAGAATGGTCTCGATCTCCTGAACTCGTGATCCGTCTACCTTAGCCTCCCAAAGTGCTGAGATTTACAGGCATGACCCACTGCGCCCGGCCCCTAATTTTATTTTTTAAGTAGCTTCCTCTGTCACGGGATTCTTAGACACTAACTCAATCAACCATAACAGTTTAGAAGAGTGGGGGGGAAAATCACCTTATATCTTACCAGACCATAAGCATCTTGATGGCATGGTTGACAACTTACATACCATAGCACATTATGCTGGCATTAAGTGTCATTTTTTTGGTTGTCAATATGTAAACACTAGTCTGGATGAAGGTGGCAAAAGACCTCTATGATTACCTTTATTCTCCCTTAAGGACCATTTTGGGCTACAAAAAATTATCCCTTAGATACATTTAGAAGTTTTTCCATGTAATTTCCTAAGTATGTTCTGCTTGTATTTCTATGATATAAAACCCTTCAATTCACAAAATTTTCATGGAAAAATAAAAACATTGCTATAGCTTTTAGGTTTACACTTTTTCTACAGTTTTGAGATTTTCTTATTTTTCTCTAATATTATTTTTCTACTGTTTACCTACCGAATTTCACTTGTTTAGAATCAGCTTCTAAATGTATTTTTCACTGGGTCTGTAATTGCTGGCCACTCTTGAAAGTTAATGAGAGGTAAACCCAGTGCCACCTAATTTTTAAGAGGGAAGCAGTTGACCCAGGCAAGGATAGTAAATTCCAAAAATGGGAGGAAGAATAAAAATAATAAAGAGGATAGGACTGTACTTTATAACTGTCTGCCTTCACAGTGTCAAAGTTTCAGGTGTTGCTGCTTCAACCTTAAAAGATTATTTATTTGTCCCCCTATGAATGTAGGGGGAAATAGGCTCCTCTTTGATAAGTTGTGATCATACAGTTAAGATATACTAAAAGGAATATTTATTTTGCAATACATTCCCAACTGTAGAGAATCAGTCAAGAGGAGACTGGCATATAAGGTTATCTTTTTCTTCTAGGACTGGTCTCAATTTCTAGGTCTAGTATTTATGCACCCATAGAACAGGCTTGCCTTTCTAGCCCTTGCCTTGTTGCAGGAATTAGAGGACCAGAGAGACCAATAGATGAAACAGAAGGATTTTATTTAAGTGGCCACTGGCCCAACGGATTCACATCCAAAGGCTAGGTCCCGAACAAAGACAGGGCTTGACTTTTATACACACTTCGGAAAGGGGATTGGCTAATTTAAATGGCACAAAATTCGTGGTGCAGGCAAGGAGGCTTACAGAGTCAGAACAAAGACAGTTAATCAAACAGTGACAGGTTTTGTAATCTTTGGCTTGTGACTTTGCAGCTGCATTGAAAGAAAAACAGGAACTTACAAAACTTGGAAATTGAGTAATGGTAAGGGGGATGAGGAGATAGTAAA